TCTATCTATCTATCTATCTATCTATCTATCTATCTATATCTATATCTCAAACAAACAAATGTTCCTGTCAAGTCAACTGAAACCCAAGATGATTCCATCTATGTCAGCTAGGAACTGTGATCCAGAGTTTTTCAATAGCTGTGACCTTTCTCTAAGACTTTCTTCCAAGGTGTCTGTAGGTGGACTCAAAGCACTGACTTCAAGGTTTACAGCCAAGGACCTAATCATTTATGCCACCCAGGAACCCTGTGTGTGTGTGTGTGTGTGTGTGAGATAGTATCTTTATTTATTCACACACATTTAGCCATCAGATTCTCCAAGCTGTAAATACACGCTCTAAGCTAAGGAGATTTGGGAGTGAGTAAGCATTCTGTCTCTGTAATCTCCACAGCAGCTGTCTGGATTACTTCTTTTTATCCAGTTCGCTGATGAAGTAGCTTGAAGGTGGATAGCTGCAAGTAGTGACACTGTACTTATTTAGGAAGCAGAGCCAGGCATCTGTACATGATTCAGGAGACGGTCTCTCCTGGGAAGGCGGAGGCATTCCGGCATGCTTTGTATCCATCATGCTCTTTCTGGTGCCAAGGTTAGGCTTGCCCAGCCCCAGGTAAAGACAAACGACTGTCACCAGGGACCCAGTGGAAGCAATAATGTACTTACGGTCCATGCCCACCTGTGTTTGAATCCCAGCTTCCACACTGACCTACTTTGTGATTCTGAGCAAATTTAGCCTCAGCATTTTCATCTGCATAATAGAATCATATTAAAATGTGCCTCACAGCAAAGATGAAACAATACCTGCTGTGTAGAGTGGTAAACACCATGCTATACAATGATTGTACTGTTGTTACTAACATTCACCCGAGGCCAGGGTTTGGCCAACAACTTCAACTCTGCCCTACAGGATCCTGGACCACACCTGTTTCTCCTGCTGCTTCATGTTGGCACTCCCAGCTCGGGCCTCGTTCCTGAGGAGTTCCAGAAACTCCTGGATGGCCTTGTGTCTACTTTCCTACCCCAAAAGTGTCCTTCTAAGAGGTCCTTTCTGTCTGAGTGACCTGTGACAGCATCCGGAGGACCTGGACAAGAATCCCTGGGGGTCTGAGGGGCAAGCCCAGCTGCAGTGCAATCCACAGGCCACACTAGGGCTGACAGAGGGTGAGAGGAGGGGGTGGGAGAAGACCTGGCCTTTTTGTCTCCAGATGGCTCTTAACCTACTCTCCTCTCTCCATCTCTTGCTCAGACCACTGAAGACGATGCCCACAGAACCATCCAATTGTTTCCTCTTTTGTCCTCCACAGTCAATCTAACTCCTCACACCTGCCCATTGTTATTGAGTCCACTGTAACTCCTAGTGCGCCTAGGGCAGAGCACAGCCATCCACTGGGCTTCCAAGGCTCTGTTTTCTGGTTTTGTTTTATTATTATTATTTTCTCTCTCTCTCTCTCTGTGTATGTGTACCATCAAATCAGATCTGACTGGTACAGGAGGAGATTGAGCCTCCTTCTCCAGCAGAACATCTGGTGGACTCGAACCGCATACCTTTGGGATTGCAATGCAGCTTCTTGTCACTAGGCCATAGAACTTCCCTTGTTCTTAAGGAAGCAGAAAATCTCCTATTTCTCCCATTGAGCAACTGGTAGATTAAAACTGCTAACATTTTCGTTCCTTCCCTCCTCATCACTGATTAGCTGAGTCAGAACCAATCCATAACTGACCCTCCAGCAGGTTTTCAGAAAGTTGTAAATCACATAGGGAGAGATACTGTCCATCTTTCTCCTGTGAAGCAGCTGGGGGACTGAAACCATCTGCCTTTGGGTTGGCAACATTACTCCCCGCCTTTAAAGCCACCAGAGCCCAATTTTTAACCACTGCGCTACCAGGGCTCCTTCATCTCCACACAGCAGCCAGAATAATCTTTCAAATCAGGTCTCAAGCCCTTTCCTTCCGTAGCTTCCCATCTCACTTAGAGCGAACCTCACTTCCTCACATGCCTAGGTCCTAGTCCTTGCCCCACTGCTCCCCAGTGACCACACCATCATATATGGTGGCCTTTCTGTTCTCTGAGAATACCCTTCAGCTCCCACATATGCCTTTCTCATCTCTACCCTTCTACAAATGCTTTGCAGTGTCTCCACCTGCCCTGATTCATGTTAATCCTGCAGTTCGCAGTTTAAATCGTTCTTCCTTGATCGCTCCATCTGAAGCCTTCCCTACCACACTTTACTGTTTCCTCTATGTCTTTCACCCAGTGACCGCTAACCACGATCTAAAACAATACTGTGTGTACTAATGTGTGTACATGTGCGCGCCTTAAATCTGGCTTCTTCAGGCAGATGCCTGAGGAGGACTAGGACTCCCGCGGCCCTTCTTCCTCGTCTGTGCCATCCTCTGCTCCACCAAGCACCTGGAAGCACATCTGGCTAGAGGGTGAGCTCCCTAAGTCCTGGCTGGGTGTAGGTGTCTGTGTCTAAGTGAAACCAAAGCTTACCTGTCAGAATGGATGACTGTTGCAGACTTGGCATCAATGACATGCACGATGACTCCTCGATGACCCCAGCTCCTTTCGAAAAAGTAGCCTCCCTCCTCCATGCCCCCCGGGTGAAGGGTCTTGCTCAGGAAGGTCCAGGAGAGCTTTTTCTGCCCGTGCAACTCGAGGGTGCCTCCTCGGCCCACTCCGATGTACTTCAGGCCAAAGTAAGGGTCCGGCAGAACCTCCTCGTCAGCCCTACGGGAGAAAGAGAACAGCTCCCCCCAGTCAAGTGGCACCTCTCTTTACCAAGTACTGAATCCAGAGGGGACTGTCACTGCTCTCTGGCTCCCTCGATGGCTCCCACAAGGTCACCCACACTTTTGGTGGTCAAACAGCATCAGCAAATATCCTATCAGCAGCCAGCTCTCCCTCAGCCTCAATACAAGGCCAGACAAATCAAACAGACACGCTTACCATTAGTCTCCATGCTGGCAATCGTTTGAGTTGTAATTACCCACATTCTGGTATGTAAACAGGTAGGAATCCTGGACAGATAGTGTACAGCCTCCCATACTGCTATAGACTGTCACTCCTCAAAACTTGGAATTGCTTAAAGAGGAAACATGGCCAGAGGCACATGCCACCTGGAATTTTCCTTTATCTTGTCCATCACAACCGATTTAGGCAAACCAAGCAGAGTCTCCCTGAACTGTGACTTGGCTGGAAGGCGGCTGAGAAGCTGGCTGGGACCTCGGTGACATCAGCACAGCTCCCAGGCCATAAGATATAAAACGCCTCATGTACTTCTCCAGCATGGCCAAACCACCGTGTCTTACTTGTGATTGCAATCTGGCAGGGCCTAGTGATGATTCCTGTCTGACTCTACAGCTGTCTACCTCCCTCTCTCCTTTGGAAAGCCTCCTCCATGACAGATTTCAAGAACAGCACTGGACCTGTAGAGCCGTTCACCCACCTGCCATACAAGACGATGCTGAAGTTGCCCTGGAAAGGGCAGTGGGCACTCCCGGCATGCAGTTCTCCTCCCTCATCAATCAGGATGTGCCGTGTGCGCAGGACAATTGACTCATCGTGGTCTTTAATGACCAGCTTCCCTGAAGAGGTAGGAATGAGGTGAAGTTTCAGAACAACAGTTCTAGGGGTCGGACCATAGTAGAACCAAAAACAGCTTACCGAATCCCCCAGCCGTACTCCCTATCTAATCTGGGCAAGTAAGAAACACATCTTTTGAACCTCATGCAAACTATCTTCCCATATCATTACTTTTCTTTCTTCCTCATAACGTGCAAATAAACCCATCTGATTGCCGGACACCACAGTGCACACTGCAGTCAATGACAAAGCACAGGGACCACTCAGAGCACCACCAAGGATTCTTCTGGGAAAGCTTTCTTCGTTCAGACTGGCACTCTGAAAAGTCATTCCTCAGTGCTCAGAGCCAGGCGCTCTGATGTGGGCCCAATGCACGTGACATCAGTTTTCTCCATCTGAAGTTGGGGCTTCCTGCAGCACATCTGTCAGGCTCTGGGGTGATGGAAGGCAGAGGGGCAGGCCTCCTTACCTCCTTCAGAGATGTGGATGGAGTAGACCGTGGCGGAAGAGGTTAGGAGCAGCATCTTGTCCTGGCCAATGTAGACATGGTGATCTGGGTCATGGCCAGGGCTCCAGGGCTGTAGCTCAGGGCTCTGATCTGGGCACTCGGCTGCCAAGGACAGAGAGATGTCATGCACCAGCACCTTACCATGGAGCCAGTTCTGACAGGTGACCCCATATGTGTCTGAGTAGAACTCTGCTCCATAGGATTTTTCACTAAGTTTTCAGAAGTAATTCATCAGGCCTTTCTTCTGAGATGCTGCAGGGTGGACTCAAACCTCCAATATTTTGATTAGCAACCAGACACTTGAACTGTTTGCAAACAAAAGACTTGTCCCCTGATACAGAAGTCAGGAACCCTCAAGTCTAGTCTCATGTCTTTAATTAGTTGGTCCTTTGCCTCTGGACAATTCACATCCTTATTCTGGGCTCAATTTCCCCATTTATAAGACAGATTGGATGATTCCATACGTCTTTCCACGTTCTAAAACTATGCAATAATCTGCCCAGATTATGTTCCAAGCCATTCTGTCCCCTAGAAAGCAGTGTTTGAAGAGCACAAAGAGCACTCTTTGTGCTTGAGAACTTGACCTTCAGTTAATGTTCTAGCTCTGTTCTCCCGGAAACCTGAGAAAGACAATGCTTTCATAAACTATGTTACTCAGCAACACTACTACTTCTAGCAGGTAGGTGGCCCCTAAGCAGAAATTAATACAAGTACCTATGGGAGGTCATACTTTGGGGTTCCCTGAGTGCAGTGGCTTTTAGGATTGGGCATGTCCCTTGAAAGACAAATGGAAATTATATCTATGGTGTCACCCTAAGAGACACTTATAAAGAACAGTAAGGAATTCTGGTGGCCTTTCGTTATTATGTGCCGTTGAGTCGTCTGCAACCCATAGAGACCCTATGTACAACAGCTCTGAAGCCTGCCCTGAGCCAGTCTCACCGTCTCCGACACACCTACCCTCATTGCCCCAGTCAATCCATCTCATCTGGGGTTTTCCTCTCCTGTGCTGTCCCTCCACCCTTCTGAGCATGATGTTCCTCTCTAAGGATCTGTCCCTCCTGGCTACACGCCCAAAGTACGTGAGACGGATCTTCAAAATCCTAGCCTCCAAGGAGAAACTTGGCTTCACTCTCTCCAAGACAGACGGATTTGTTTTCTTGGTGGTCTGTGGTATGTTCAACACTCTTCTCCAGCACCACAACTCAAAGGCATCGATTCTTCTGTCATCCTTAGTCACTGTCCAACTCTCTGATGCATACTAACTAATTGTGAGGACCATGGTCTGGGTCAAGCACACCCTAGTCTCTAGACTGCATTGCCGAACAGAAGGCAAATAAGTGGTTCTAGCTGTTTCACATGATAAAAATGGGCAATTTCCTCCCCTGAGATTTACTCCCACTAGAGGGCCAGCTACAAGTCAATTCTAGCTTGACAACACATAATAACAATAACACAACATAATGACAAGTGGAGCCTGATGCATCTAAATGTGAGCACACCTGTCTTGTTTCCAATCATGTGAGCTGCCACCAGGGAAACCAGAGGCTGGTTTCTGCGTGGCTCTGTGGTCGGCTCCAAGGCCATTCCCACTGAGAGGGGGCTGTGCTGACAGCAGACCATATTTCCCATCCTACATCCTCCAATCTGAAACCAAGTGTGATCAATGGCAGCCTTGGGTGTGAATATCTGGTGGACTCTAAGAAGCCCCCATGATGAATGCTGCAGAAATATTTCTCCCCCCGGCCTAGGCACAAGTGTTGGGTGGACCCTCCATTCCTATGGTTAACAACTCGAAATCCAGCACAGTACCATGGAGATGGGCAGTCAGGAGAACTGGTCAAACACAGGAGGAATCTTCTGGAAGAGCAAAGAAAAATCCACGGAGGGAAAGAAGAGGAAATGAGGGGTGAGGAGAACAACAAAAAGGGACAGAGAAAGTATTCTCTCAGAGAATAAAGCCCCAGTGCCCTCCTTCCTCTGTCACTAAAGAGCTGTGGCAACAGTTGTCAGTATGTGACAGCGAGTGAAAACCAACTCATAGCTGCCGCTTCAATGGACTATTTTATTTATTTTTTTTAAATTTCTTCATTCTTTTTATGTGTGTACCGTCAAATTGGATCTGACTGGTACAGGAGGCGATTGTTCCTCCTTCTTCAGCAGAGCATCTGGTGGATTTGAACCACGCACCTCTGGGATTGCAGTGCAATTTCCTGCCCTAGGCCACCAGAGCTCACCTCAATGGACTTTTTTAGAGAATATGCATCACATGGGAGGAAAACATCTTTCTCTTGTGAAATAACTGGTAGATTTGAACCATGTCTGTTAGGGCTGTCAGAATAACTCCTCACCCACTAGGCCATGTTGTTGTTGTTGTTGATTGCCTTCAAGTCGAGCATGACTCACAGCAACCCTATGAACAAAAGGCCTGAAGCCCCTCTATAACTATCAACATTTATCAAAGTCCATAGAGTTTCTGGAGGCCTGTTGTTTAGGAATTGGATGCCACTCCTGCTTCCAAATCTGTCATCGTATGTTATTGTTGTTATGTGCCACTGAGTTGCCTGCAATGTAGGGGTGCAGAGTGGGGAGGGGGAGGCAAGAGGCTGATAAGCAGGAGCAAAATTTCAGGAGATGAAGACACCGGGTGAGGGCCTGGAAGGAATGGCAGCGTAGCCCACAACTGTGGCCCTGAGAAGTGGACTGAGGAGAACACGTGCCTTGAGCAAAGTAGACAGAGGAATACTGGTCAAAGCATGGGACACGGACCCCAGGAGGGATCTGGCTTCAGTGAAATTACTGGCAAGTGAATTGCTTTCTATTCCATTATCTCTGAGGTAAGCATCGCTTTCTATAATTCTCCATCTCAAAGAGAGCTGGGAGTTGTCCCTTTCTCTACACTCAGCAGAGCCTGAGACAGACCCTGAATCCCACTCACGATGCAGCTTCACTAGCCTTCTCAGCCCTGCCTTGCCTGAGCCAGTCCTCGGTACGTGTTTACTGGTGAACTCACTCCCCATCGCAACTCCTCCTTTTCATTCCATCTGTCAGGCCCGAGGTAGGCTTTTCATTAAGAAGAGAGTTTCACATTTCTTGGAGGTTTACTGAAGCAGCTCTCCCAGCTGTTGCACAGCCCACAGGATTCAAGCTGTGGGACTAAGATAAAAGCCCCGCAGGCTGCTCATGGGGGGATTTCCATGCTAATGTGGGAGCAGGGCTGCAGGGAGCTGCTGGAAGGGGCTGGGGTGCACCTCTCCCTGGAACTCAGCAATCAAGGGTGGTCACGGGGTGGGGACTCCAGAGCCCCTGTCCTGATGAAGGACTTCTGAGGGTCACTGCTTACCCCTGCCTTTCTCCAGATGGGGCCAAATTCATGGCTGGCTTTCAACATAGGGGACCAGAGGCCCTGGGCTGCCCTCCAGCTAGTCTTGAACCTGGCATGTCAGTTCTCTCAGTGTGGGGAGCACATGTGGTCCACTGGCCAGTCCAGCAGTCCAGGCAAGGAGCCATGAGCATGCTGTCAAGGAGACACCCCATGCACTAGACAAAGCCCCAAGGGGTCACACAGTCCACATTTCCCAATAGCCCCTTGCATTCTGCATGGGCATGACTTTTCATTAAACTTCATACTTGGACTTGGAGGTGGCCACTCTGATGTCTGACTCTGCCTCTTGTCACTAAAAGCTCAAGTCCCCGATGCCACAGCTGAAGGCCAGCAGTGTGACAATGGTGGAAGGGCAAACTCCTTCATTGGTAATACTTGATTCTTGGTTGCAATCATTTGACTGGGGGTTTTTATGTGTAGTAATCAGTGAGGCTCTAGAAATGTACAGCACTCCTGCTGAAGTATCACCATGGCAACCAGCATGCTATCCCAGGAGGAGCCACACCATGTGGGATGAGAGCTAACAAGTGGGCCTGCTGGGAGCACGCTGCAGATTGGCTTCTCCCTCCCTGAACAGAGGGAACCAGGAGCCTCCTTTCCAATTGGCTAGTGTTTAAAAGGCATGTGAGATGGTCAGGACGTGGGTGGAAATAGCCAGGAAGTCCCTGATTATATTTCCCCAAGGTTCTGAGGTGGATCACTCCAAAGATAAACCTGAGACCAGTGCTTGGTACATCATTAACAGCCCCACTGGGTTTTAAGGGAGCTCTGGTAGCCTAGTTCTCAGGGGTTATTCTTTTAATTCAAAAGCCATACCTCTCTGGCAGTCTAAACGTAACAGCGGTTCCATGGGTGAAGGATGGGCAATCTCCTCCTGTGTGATTTAGAGTCTCAGAAATGCACTGGAGGTCAGCTAAGAGTTGGGTCCTACTCCACCGTAATTGGTTGAGTTGTTTTAGTTAGCAAAATGACTTAAGGATGTATGAATGAATTCAGGCAATATTATAAAAAACTACATCAGATCTCAAAATACTGTTTGTTATGCTTCCCATGTGTTAGAAAGATAATACAGGGAATCACAATGAAGGAACTTAACTAATTAGGATTACAGATACTATCTTCCATCAGTTGGCTAAGAAACACAAAATATAATACAATGCATTATCCCTTATGCTTACCGTTGTAAACCACCCAAGTCAATTAATAAGAGCAGGATATTTTAAAAATGGTATATGTTTTACTGTGTAGATTCTTTTTTTAACTTTAAAAAAAATTCCACACTAGTTTATCTATAAAATTCGAAAACACTGCTTTTGAAATCATATTCTTTCCATTTCCTTCACCCTCATATATCAAATTACACAACCCTCTGGTTAATCCCCCCTCTCAACTGTGCAAATTCTTAACAATAAAATAACAAATATCTCTAGGATTTAGTGGACAAAGAAATAGGGGGTTTGTACAAAATCAACTGAAACCCTTACTCTTCTTCAAGCATACAAAACAACAAGTATCAATGTTTGGGATAAAAACACTAGTATGTTTTTAAAAATTCATAGTCAATTAAACAGCAACAGTAACAATGAACAGTCATGCTTGCTTATTGTTATAAACAAACTCTGAATGGCCACTGCAAGTTGGAATCCACTAGACAGCATAAAAGAGTAACAAATGTCCCAAAAAAGAACAATCAATGGTGATGGTACTATTAGAAACCAATTGCTCCTGACTAATTTTCGAGTTAGGGAAATTCTACATGTGCCAGAGTAGAACTGTATCCCATAGAGTTTCCATTGGCTGATTTTTCAGAAATAGATCACCGGGCCTTTCTTCTGAGGTGCCATCAGGCCAATCTGTACTTCCAGCCTTTCAGATAGCAGCCGAGAGTGTTAGCTATTTGAATCACCCAGAGACTGCAATGGTTATATTGTTGTTATGTCACTGACTCCCACACAACTACCCTTGTTGTCCCAGTTACAGTATTAATCCATCTCATCCAGAGTCTTCCTCTCCTGCACTGTTCCTCCACCCTTCAAAGTCTGATGTCTATCTCCAAGGATCTGTCCCTCCTGGCAGCATGCCCAAAGTATGTGTGATGGAGCTTCAAATTCCTAGCCTCCAAGGAGGAACTTCATTTCACCCTCTTCAAGACAGGACTATTTGTTTTCTTGGTGGTCCATGATGTGTGTTCAACACTCTTCTCCAGCGCCACAACTCACAGGCATCAATTCTTCTGTCATCCTTAGTCCTTGTTCAGCCCTCTGATGTACAGGAAGTAACTGCAAAGACCATGATCTGGATCAGGCACACCTTAGTCTCTAGACTGAGATCGTTGCTTCACAGTACTCTGGAAAGGGTCACAACAGCAGATTTATCTAATACAATTCGCCTTTTGATTTCCTGTCTACTGGTTACAAGATTGTTGACTGTGGAGCTGAGCAAGCTGTAACTGTTAACAACCTCAATCTCTTCTCCATCCATCAAGATTCTGTCAATTGGCTCAGTGGTGAGAATCTTTGTCATCTTGATGTTGAGCTTCAATTCATATTGAAGACTACTCCTTGACCTTTTGCAGCAACTGCTCAGGTCCTTCTCAGTTTCATCAAGCCACATTGTGTCATCTGCATAACAAAGGTTGTTGATGAGTCTTTCTCCAATCCTGATACCACATCCCTCCTCATAAAGCCCAGCCTCCCTAATGATCTGTTCTGTATATAGATTGAAAAGGTATGGAGATAGGACACATCCCTGATGCACTCCTTTCCTCACTTTGAACCATGCAGAGTTTCCTTGCTCTGTTCTGAGGACTGCTTTCTGGTCCAAGTATAGGTTTCACATGAGCACAATCAAGTGTTCTGGGATTCCCATTTTCCTCAAGGCTAACCACAACTTGTTGTGAGCCACACAGTCAAATATTTTTGCATAGTCAATGAAACACAGTTAGACATATATCCCTCTGGTACTTTTCACTCTCTGCCAAGATCCAACTGAGATTGGCAATAATGTCTCTAGTGCCATGATCTCTTCTGTACCCAGCTGGTAGATCTCTGTCCATGTACAGTTTAAGCTGTTTCAGGATAATCTTCAGCAGGATTTTGCTTGAGTGTTCCCACACTCTGTTGGGTCACCTTTTTTGGAATGGTAATAAATATGGATCTCTTCCAGTCAGTTGGCCAGGTAGTGGTCCTGCAGATTTTCTGTAACAACCTGGTAAGCATGTCCAAAGCAGCATCTGTTTGTTGAAATACTGTAACACTTATATTTAAACATTAGACATAACTCTCCATTTCTCACCTTCCATGCTAAGCTTGTTTTATTTGACTCCTGCTTCCCAGAGCTTAGGAAAATGTGCCTTGTGCTTCTGGACAGTAATCCAAAATGGCCCAGAGAAAGAGTTTAAGGTATTGGGGTGGGGAGAAGAAACTTAACCATCGCACAGCACTGTGAAGCTTATAACTCATTTTAATGTATCCAGATCTTAGGACACTAAAGAGGGAAGGGATCATTGAGGCCAAGGAGCTAAGAGGGAGCAGGATTAAAGATATGTGGGGTGCTTTTCCCCTAGCCTGCTTCCTGTGTGATGCTGAAAGTTAGCACTCAACAAAATATAAAAAATAAGAACTTTCGCAGAAAAATTTAGATTTTTGGCTTCTCAACATTCAGAAGATGCTGCAGCACAGAACCACAGTAACATAGGCCAGAGCTGAGAAGCGGGGGTCTCGTCCATAGAGACCAGTGACCACCATCTGCACTGGCTCAGGGTCAGTCCCTTATATCACATGTTTGCCCCTTGTGGACACTGAGCTTATACCTCCTGGTTTTATTCTAAGCCACTGTTTTGTAGATGGTGAAACTGGAGCCCAGTGGGAGACCTTCTTGGGATCACTGAGTTAGCAAGGATGAGTCACACTCTGACGCTGACCCCAGACTCCTCCTCCAGCACCGAGCAACCCTGCTTCACCGAGAGGCTGTGCTAGGCATGCTGAGACAGCCAGGCAGGCCCTGCTGTGTGGTGGCTCACCTGTGCATGTGGCCCTGTGGAGCGTGGACAGGATGAGCCCGCTGATGGTCAGCACCACTCTGGCAGGGAAGTCCCACCTTCTAGAAGCTCCCATGGTGTAACGTCCTCCCTGAAACAGATGCACAGTGCGGTTAGACGAGCAATCTTGGCAGGCACAGGATAGCATGCAGGATGGCAGGGTAGACACAGACATGGAGGCAAATGCACAAAGACACAGAGCCAAGTGCATGCACTGACACGGAGTCACGTACATGCGCTGACATGGAGCCATGTGCACATACAGAACCAGAGGCAGTGATGGGTGTGCCAGGCAGGCCACACTCCAGCCAGGCCACCCAGGCTGCCCCAGTGACCACCAGCTGTTATCATGGCCCAGGGTTGGGCAGATCAGGCCAGCAGGCCCTGCAGCACAGAAACTCAGAGAGCAGCAGAATTTCATTCTTGGTATTCCAACATCTCAAGTCTAGAATTAATTCTTTTGCTTAAGAAACAGAAGGAGAATGCTCCCCTTGGACATAACGTGGAAATTCTGCACTGCCCATCTGCTGGATGATCTCAGATGATCCCTTTAACCTTTCTGGGCCTTATTTTCCTAATCTATGGAATGGCCAGTTTCCTCCACCTTTAACAGTCTATGGGTCTGAGACTTTTCTGGGATAATAAAGACATTAAAAATATACATGTCTATGTTTTATAAATCCTCTTCACACTACTCATCCAAGAGGAAGGTGGAACAGATACAGCTCATTGTCCCCTAATACCCATTGCACCTTCCTTCTTCAGAAGCAATATCCCCAGTTTTTATTTAAGCACACAGCTACCTAAAGACCATATTCCCTAGTCTCTGTTAGAGTTAATTGTAGCCATGGAATCAAGTTCTGACCTAGCATGGTTAAGTATCATGGATATCTCAGGAAATGCCTTGCTTCCCTCTTTCTTCCTCCCTGCTGGCTGGGATGCAGATAAGATGGCTGGATCTTCAGCAGTTATCTTGGGCCATGTGGTAGCAAAGCAAACAAGAAAGAACCTAGGCCATGATGCTAAGAAAAACGGATAGAGCTCTAAATTTGCTGACTACCCACAGGTTTATTTTTATGTGAGAGAGAATCAAACTTTCATTTTATTAAAACCACTTTTTTTCCCCTTGGTTTTCTCCCCCTCCTTTTCTCCTAGAAGGTGGTTCTCGGAATCTACTAGGTAAGTTTTAAAACAAAACCTTTTAAAACATTACACACAATTTCCTTTTCGCATTATAATGTCATTTGTAGAAACATCTTCATCTTCGGTTGGATTGGCCACAGAAGGTGGCCAGCTCTGGCTTCTACGCCCTTCTTCCCAAACCCTGCCCTGAGTGTAACAACAGAAACAGATATTCTCCCACACTAGTGAGAAGCCAACATCTATCTCACTCACACAGGCTCCTCCCATCCAAGGAGTTCAGCTCATCCCCATCTTCTCAGCTCACAGTGGAGCCCTGCGTGCACTCAGTGAGCTGGGACAGGCAGGAGGAGTCTGAAATAGGAGCCCCCTGGGCCCTGGGCCTGCTATCTCCCACAGGTGTGCTGGGGAGCTAAGGAGGAAACAAAACCCTCAGAATCCCCACTGGTGATGTCTTTGTAACAGGCACCCCTCCTGGGTGCAGAGCTGACCTGCTGAGAACAACAGGGCCTTTTCTAGCCACTTCTGTAAAACTGCTCCAGTCACATGCCTCAAGGCATCTGGGAATGGCCACTTTCCCAGGGCCCCCAGGAGAGGAGTGATCACTTTCATGCCCTTTGCAATAGAAAGGAGGGAAAACCAGGGGAGGGGGTGCTTTCGGGGTCCCCGGGGGAAAGCCAGAGACTTGCTTACGAAAACCAAAGGCAGCCTCCTGCCCAAAAGCCTGATATAGTCACAGAACCTCACTAAACAGGAACAGTGCTGTGGGGCCAGGGGCTGGCACCTTAGCTCCACAAAGAAACAAGCAGAGACTAGGAGAGGAGGCAGCCCTAGGATTACAGGCATCCATCTGCCCTAAGCTATAAAGTGATTTCTTCTAGCGGGCATCATACTTTCCATGCATAGGGTGGGAAAGTTGGCTTACATAGACTTTTGAGTTCTGACATCTTCTTAACAGCAACCCACAACCAAACCCACTGTCACAGAGTCAATCCCAACACACGGAGCTGCACTGTCCCAGAGGGCTTCCACTGAGGAAGCAGATAGCCAGGTCTTTCTTCTGTAGCACCCCTGAGTGGATTCGAACCACCAATCTCAGGGCACACTGTTCATACCACTTGGGGACTTTATCATGGATAACCTCAAAGGGGGGAAAATGTCACTTTCTGGATGAATATAAAAACCAATTCCACTTGAAAAGAATAATGCTTGATTTTCTTTCCCTAACATTGAAGACACTTCCGCTGCCATCAAGCCGTGCCAGGGCCACAACAGGTAGAGAGACCTCCCCACCTGGAGAGGTGACCCCGGCATCACTGGGCAAGTGGTTATCCACGTTCGCTTGTCCACAAGGGGCTTCAGAGACCCTGGGTGGCTAAGCCTGAGAAACATTTCACCCCAAGAGGTTCTCAAATTTCACTTGGGAATCCTTTACCAAGAATTTCCCAGTTGGCTATTAAAAGCTTTCTGGTAATGGGAAGTGGAACTTGGGCTCTCTGGCTGGCGAGATACAATCTTGAACGGGTTCCCAGCGCTGAAAGCCTCGGAAGAGCGCACACTGGCTAATCAGGCTGGAAGTCTCCGCAGGAAGCTATTGGATGAGGGTTGGCTGCTGCCCTCGCTGGGTCAGAGGCTGCGCTAGGTGGGTTCTCTCCTGGTGGCCCCTTCTTTCAAGGGTGACACGAACCCCTCCAGCAAGTCTGTGAGAAAGAAGAATGCCGACATGCTTTTTGGGAAGGCCAGCACTTTGGGGTACTCCAAAAGTCTTCACAATAACAAGCTCAAGTTTTCCAGCTGCTCAGCACTTCCCAAGTGCAGCTGCCTCTAGGTCTCTGCTTGCCAGGCCTCACAGGGCTCTGTTCTGCCTCCATCACACAGCAGGCATCTGGGCTAGGCTCTTCCTTCAGCTAGTCCCCAGCAGAGCTGTCCCAGGGTGGTCTGCCCCAGAGTGGTAGGCTTGTCACCTGCAGAAAGAGAGGAGCAGAATGTTACAGGAGCTTCTAGGGAGTCCTTCCTCAGACCTCCCAGAACCAGCATGACATGCACTGTGGCAGGTCCAGCTCCACAGGGGCACAGGGGTGAGATGTCCTGCTGGCCACGAGGCTGCAGGAAATAAGATTTTCTTTAGGAATTGTTTGGTGGCAAGAGAGTGCAAGTAGAGGAAAGGGTCACTTAAAGCCCCAGGGGGACCTGCAAAGCTTGTTTCCCGAGGTGAGAGTGAGACCACACAGGGACAGATTCCTCTCCACTTGTTACACCTGTATGAGGGCACCTCTTGCGTCAGGCCGATTTAGACCAGGCCCAGATCAGCGCCCAGTAGAACAATGCAGTGGCCAAGAGCCTGGACTCCACATCCACAAAGTCCATGGGTTTAAACTTCAGCCTCACAATTTACCCTGGGAAAATGAGCTGGTCATTCTCTATGCCTCATTTCTTCCATATAAAACTATAACAATGCTAAATTCCAACACCTTTGTGTAGATTAAATAACATGTTAAAAAAAACAAAACCAAAGCAACATATGTATGTGCAGGTTACTGCAGTTGTGGTTGTTGTTTTTGTGTCCCATAAAATGGGTTCCAACTCACAGTGACCCTATATGACAGAGGAGAGTGCCTCACAGGTTTCAAAATCTTTGCAAGAGAAGATTGGTAGGTCTTTTCTCCCACAGAGCAACTGGTGGATTTGAACTAATGATCTTTCAGCTAGTAGTCAAGTGTCTCATCACTGTAGCACCAGGGCTCTTTATAAAGGCCATGCCTTTTGCTGTTAGGTGCTGTAGATTCGACTATGACTTCTAGCAACCGTATGAACAACAGATCAGAACTTTGCATGATGATGGTACAGGAGAGGACAAGCTTCCAATGAAGGCCCCAGGTACCCTAAATGGTAGGGCAGAGGTATGCTAAACAAGGTTCAAAGCTAGAGTCCACCCAGAGGGGCCTCGGAAGAAAGGGTTGGTGAGTTACTTGCAAAATATTAGCCACTGAAACCCTATGAAGCACTTGGACACATGTAGGGTTGCTGGGAATCACAAATGATTCAAAGGGTACTGGTACATGAAGTCTTTATGAGTATTGGCCAAGGACCTGAGGTAACCCAGGCAGAAGAGCCTGAGAATGGAATAAAAGAATTTGAGTTCAAATTCCAACTCTGATACCCAATAGCTAAGCTCTCGTTGTGTTTCAGCCTTCTCACTTTTGAAATGGGAATACTGCTACCTATCCCAAGTTGTCATGAGGGTGAATTGAGATAGATGTACTCTTCCTAACAATTTTTGCCTAGACGTCCTAGGTCTTAGTATTTGATCCTGTGGAAGATACATTAGAGTCAAATGTGAGTCCTGCCTCCCCACAGTCCCTGCTGAGTTCTTACTGGCAAAGAGAGAGAGAAGCAAATAGACTAAGAACTGTCATCCACAATGGTGGGCAGCTGTCTCCTTGGGCAAAGGAGAATAAAGGGCTGGAACTCACAGAGAACGGAAAGGCACAATTGAGCCAGTCAACAGCTCAATTTCTTCCATACCCACTCTACCAGGGAGCTCTAGTGGCCTAGTGGGGAAGGAGTTGAGCTGACAATCCAAAGGCAGATCGTTTGAATCTACCAGCAGCTCAGCAGGAGAAAGAGCTCTCCAACCTACAACTTCCAAAAATGCACTGGAGGCTCATCTGTGAGTCACTGACTCGATGGCAATGAATGAGTGTCGTCTGTTCGAAGCTCTGGTGGTGCTGTGATGAGGGTATTTAGCCACTAACCAAAAGGTCAGTGGCTTGAATCCACAAATTGCACTGTGGGTGAAAAACAAGGCAGCATGTTTTTTATAAAACCTTACAGCCTTGGAAACACAATAGGGTAGTTTTTCTCTGTCCTATATTTGGCATGCACTTGATAGCAATGAATTTATTTCTGCTACTGGGAAGGAGGCTTTGAAACAGG